AATACTTATTTTCCACCATAATTTGCAAATAAATTCATAAAAAATCCTACAATGTGATTTTCTGGATTTTTTTTTCTCATTGTGTCTGTCATAGTTGACATGTACCTATGATGAAAATTACAGGCCTCTCTCATCTTTTTAAGTGGGAGAACTTGCACAATTGGTGGCTGACTAAATACTTTTTTCCCCACTGTATATTGGGGGGGCTTCCCGAGTGGCGCAGCGGTCTAAGGCGTCACTACAGACCCAGGTTCGAGCCCGGGCTGTATCAGAACCGGCCGTGATCGGGTGTCCCACAGGGTGGCGCACATTTGGCCCAGCGTCATCCGGGTTAGGGTAGGGTTTGGCTGGGGGGGGCTTTACTTGGCTCACTGCGCTCTAACGACTCCTTGGGGCATGCCGGGCGCCGGCAGGCTGACTTCAGTCATCAGTTGGAACGGTGTTTCCTCTGACATATTGGTGCGGCTGGCTTCCGGGTTAAGCGGGCGGGTGTTAAGAAGCACGGTTTGGCGGGTCATGTTTCGGAGGATGTATGACTCGACCTTCGTCTCCCGAGCCGGTTGGGGAGTTGCAGCGATGAGACAAGATCGAAATTGGGGAGAGAAAAGATAAATAAATAAATAACAATAAAAACATAATAATAATATATATCGGGGATTGGAAAAGATGCAGACAATTACATTGATGGAAGCCACAATCTATATGCAATATTAAAGCTGATCCACCTCCTAAATAAAAAAATAAAATAAAAAATAGACTTTAGTTGAAACCTTTAAGGTTCATAAGGCCTAAATAACACTGGCATTAAATAACATGACAGGTGTCATAAATATTCACAACAGTTGATAGCCGCATTTATGACACTTGATTTCACACAATCGATAATGACATACAGACACACAGTACTTATACTGTATTCATAGAGCAGAACAAAATCTAACCAAATTGCTCGATACGTTTTTATTTTAAGAGCAAGCATCGTCTGCATAGCATACGGTTCTTTGTTGACATAATTGCTAGTATAAATCTGCTTTTCATATGTTTCTGAATATCCTCTCGTGGCCTACATTGAGTACACTAAACAGTCTCTTCAACTCCAGGCTTTTTCAAGGAGAAGAATGTGTATCTGATATGCTGTGACAAAATTGGACAGTGTTGCAGCAACAGAACAGCAGTAGCCTAGGGCTAATTGTCCATATGTAGTCTCACCAGCTAGTCATACACTGTGTTTGTGTTGTGCTATCAGTACTTGTCCAAATAATGCTTTTGTGGTCTGTTGACATCTTATGGCATAGTTTCATATAAACATGAATAGCTCATTCAGAGTGAATTTATATATATACACTATCATCAGAAAATAATACAGTGTATGACAGTCCTGATAGGGAGGGGGGGGGGGGGGGGGTAAAAAGAAAACAAACAACTTTAACGCACACAATCCTCAATTACCATCCATTGTAGATCGTTTGTAAACAACTTCAGGATTTGAATTAAATGTTTGCTTTAAGCTTGTGTCGAGGGTGCCAGAATAGCTACGGAAATACTACTGTCAGGTAAAAAATAAATCAAATCTAGACATACAGTATTCAGCAACTAGACATGGACATTTAGAACCCATGAAGAACCACAGTGCCTGGAAAATACGGTTCCCTTACTCCATCGCAACAATGGAGACTTTAATTTAGTTTCGATTCAGCATTTTATTCCCAAATGAAATTGAAATCCTAATCCTGCATGACTTTTTCTAACTGCTATGTGTCTTTTAGGAGCGTGAAAGTGTTGTTTCATTTGGCATGGTCAAGATCATATAGTCTGACTTAAACGGATGATGAGGTTACCTTGTCAAGGGTTCCTCAGGCCAGAAGACTATTGGTCTCCAAAATTACTTTCTTAAGCACTCTGACGAGAGAGGCGTTCAAATATGCACCCTTGATACACTTCACCACTAACCGCACTCCCTAAAGCTTATTTTTGAGTTGTGTCTCTGATGATCTCACCTCTCCACGTTGACTACTCAATTCGTCACCAAAAAAGTGATGATGATAAAACATAGCTTTGACAAAATAAATTAGATTAAAAATAAAATGTGCCTCGAGGTGAGTTCAGGAACAACCAATGGAGGACTCCATGATTTGTTTGGTCAGAAGACCTGACAGATGAAACAGTGTTGGTCTTGCTGGTTGTTTATAGAGGAGAGGTGCAGTGTCAGAATGGTCAACACCTTCTCAGTCGGTGTTCTTCTAACATTCATTTCCTCACTGCATGGGTGGGTGGGTGTGGAGCAGCATGTGTGCTCATGAGTTGTGAATGTGAGTGACAACAGCTCAGTGTGAGAGTCTCACTTGGAAAAAACTGACTTACTGTAACTTGCATGTTGATCATTTGCATGAAGCTATTTATTTACTGTTTGTGGCAGTTGGTATTGTCCTTAGGACATTGGTTCACCATCATCTCTAGTGATGGAAAAATGCATTGAATTTGTCACAAACAATTGGAGATAATTTGCAAGTGGTTTCCATCTGGATTGTAAAAGTCCTGTCTAAAAGACATGAGCAAAGCTTTGAGGCTCTGAGTAAGGGGGTTTCTTTCCTTTTTTCTTTAATTTCCAGTACTGTGTTGTCTTAAAGCGGCAATCTGGGATTGAAAATGTAACTACAGTGGACACCCCACCACTTGTTTTGGTAAATAGCTGAGAGCAGGGGCTTGAAAATGTAACTACTCTCAAATGCATAAACTCTAAGAAAAAAAGGTGCTATCTAGAACCTAAAATGGTCATTCGGCTATCCCCATAGGAGCACCCTTGGGAGATCCATTTTGAGTTCCAGGTAGAACCCTTTTGGGTTCCATTTAGAACCCTCTATGAAAGGGTTCTACATGGAACCCAAAAGGGTTCTATCTGAAACAAAAAAGGGTTCTACCGGGAACCAAAAAGGTTTCTCCTATGGGGACAGCTGAAAAACCATTTTGGAATCCTTTTTTCTAAGAGTGTAGACAGAGCTATGGATGCAAGGACCTACTGACCATCCATTTACAAAACATGTCAAACAATCTAACTGAGGCAAAGCTTTGTCAGGGGACATGTGTGTTTATCCTCCACTCACTTGCTCTCTCCTCTCCTCTCCTCTCCTCTCCTCTCCTCTCCTCTCCTCTCCTCTCCTCTCCTCTCCTCTCCTCTCCTCTCCTCTCCTCTCCTCTCCTCTCCTCTCCTCTCCTCTCCTCTCCTCTCCTCTCCTCTCCTCTCCTCTCCTCTCCTCTGTCTCTCCTCTGTCTCTCCTCTCGTCTGTCTCTCCTCTGTCTCTCCTCTCCTCTGTCTCCTGTCCTCTGTCTCTCGTCTACGCTCTCTCTTCTCGTCTCCTCTCTCTTCTCCTCACTCTCTCTATCTCTGATTCCCTGTCTTTCTCTCTCTCCTATCCTCTCTGTTTCTCGCTCCCTCTCTCCTCTCTCACCTCTCTCTCTCTCCCTCCTCTCTCTCTCCCTCCTCTCTCTCTCTCTCTCTCTCTCCTCTCTCACCTTTCTCTCCCTCTCACACACAAACACCCCCACACCCCTAGAGGAAGTAAAATGCATGGTGTCAGGACTGTATGTACCCAGTGTAGAGGTATGAAAAAGACCAGGATAAGAACATTAGTATTTGTGTGTTTGTGTGTGCTTACACGCAAGGATGAATGCATGCATGTGTACACTACCAGTCAAAGGTTTGGACACACCTACTCATTCAAGTTTTTATTTTATTTTTATTTTTTACTATTTTCTACATTGTAGAATAATAGTGAAGACATCAAAACTATGAAATAACACATATGGAATCATGTAGTAACCAAAAAAGTGTTAAACAAATCGAAATATATTTTATATTTGAGATTCTTCAAATAGCCACCCTTTGCCTTGATGACAGCTTTGCACACTCTTGGCATTCTCTCAACCAGCTTCACCTGGAATGCTTTTCCAACAGTCTTGAAGGAGTTTCCACATATGATGAGCACTTGTTGGCTGCTTTTCCTTCACTCTGCGGTCCAACTCATCCCAAACCAGGTTGGGGGATTGTGGAGGCCAGGTCATCTGACGCAACACTCCATCACTCTCCTTCTTGGTAAAATATCCCTTACACAGCCTGGAGGTGTGTTGGGTCATTGTCCTGTTGAAAAACAAATTATAGTCCCACTAAGCCCAAACCAGATGGGATGGTGTAACGCTGCAGAATACTGTGGTAGCCATGCTGGTTAAGTGTGCCTTGAATTCTAAATAAATCACAGACAGTGTCACCAGCAAAGCACCCCCACACCATAACACCTCCTCCTCCATGCTTTACAGTGGGAAATACACATGCAGAGATCATCTGTTCACCCACACAGCGTCTCACAGAGACACAGCGGTTGGAACCAAAAATCTCAAATTTGGGTAATATGGTCTTGGTATTTTACCAAATAGGGCTATCTTCTCTATACCCCCCTTACTTTGTCACAACACAACTGATTGGCTCAAACGCATTAAGAAGGAACGAAAACCACAAACTAACTTTTAACAAGGCACACCTGTTAATTGAAATGCATTCCAGGTGACTACCTCATGAAGCTGGTTGAGATAATGCCAAGAGTGTGCAAAGCTGTCATCAAGGCAAAGGGTGGCTATTTGAAGAATCTCAAATATAACATGTTTTTTTATTTGTTTAACACTTTTTTGGTTACTACATGATTCCATATGTGTTATTTCATAGTTTTGACATCTTCACTATTATTCTACAATGTAGAAATAGTTTAAAAAAAGAAAAACCCTTGAATGAGTAGGTGTGTCAAAACTTTTGACTGGTACTGTATGTTGTGTGTGTGTGTGTGCATACTGTACATGCAAGTGTGTACCTTTCTTACCCATATCTCATTCAAACTACCATTCTAACAACTAGTCTACGGTCTTAAACATAGTAAGCAGTGCAGAGAGTGTACCTAAGAGAATCCTATTTCTAACAGATCCATCTGTATTGATAGGAACAGTCATAGTCCCACCATTCTCCTGTCTGATGACCAGGAGTAGAAATACGAACAGTCCTCACCACCATCAGGCTGTCCACTCCTCCAATACCTGCAGAAGAAACAACTCATAGAATGAGACTGGCCTACTATTCCATTCAGTTATTTCATAGTGACACAGAACTCATTAAATGTCTTACGCTGTGGTCAGTGGTGTGCCATCCACCCATTTCCAGATCCCCTCAGTAACAGCGTCAGTCAGACCAATCCAGACATAGTCGTGTACTCCGCATAACAAATTGACAAATGTCTGCGGTTGTTGCAGAGACAACATTGTTAATACATAGCCATTATTGCTCTCTCTCTCTCTCTCTCTCTCTCTCTCTTTCTCCCCTCTCTGTCTCTGTCAGGTTTGCTCCTCTCTCTCTGCAGTCCTGCTCCTGGTCCAGGTATTCTTCTCAATGGAGATGTAGTAACAACTGCAACTACACCTCTTCCATCCTTGCGGACACTATAAGTTTGATATGTATTGCTTTAGTCACTTTACCTCCGCTCACATTGAATTAAGTATACAGTGACTGTCAAACAGCACAGTCATTAGCCAATTTTACTCACTGATCAGACATTTCTGTAGCTGGTCTCTCTCTTTGGTCAGGTCGTTGTAGCTGGTCTGTAGTTGGTCTCTCTCTGCAGGCAGGGTGTTGTTGCTGTTCTGTAGCTGGTCTCTCGCTTTGGTCAGGTCGTTGTAACTGGTCGTTAGCTGGCCTCTCTCTTTAGTCAGGGTGTTGTAAGTGGTCTCTAGCTGGCCTCTCTCTTTAGTCAGGGTGTTGTAAATGGTCTCTAGCTGGTCTCTCTCTTTAGTCAGGGTGTTGTAACTGGTCTCTAGCTGGTCTCTCTCTTTAGTCAGGGTGTTGTAAGTGGTCTCTAGCTGGTCTCTCTCTCTTTAGTCAGGGTGTTGTAAATGGTCTCTAGCTGGTCTCTCTCTTTAGTCAGGGTGTTGTAACTGGTCTCTAGCTGGTCTCTCTCTCTTTAGTCAGGGTGTTGTAAGTGGTCTCTAGCTGGTCTCTCTCTTTAGTCAGGGTGTTGTAACTGGTCTCTAGCTGGTCTCTCTCTTTAGTCAGGGTGTTGTAACTGGTCTCTAGCTGGTCTCTGTCTTCAGTGTTGTTATTTTTCAGGAGGGACACAGCCTGTAACAACAGTTTTTCTATCTCATGGATGTTCTTGGCGTAATCTGTAATGATTAAGAATCAATCACTTGCAGAAAATCCTTTCAATTAATTATATAAATATATGTTGGTAACTCTTAACCCCTTACAAAGGGTATAAAGGGTTTATAAGTAGGTTACTTAATAGAATAGTTTATACAGGCTACCACAGTAGTACTCGTAGTTGTTTAAAATAATAATAATGACAATGCAACAGTGCAGGGTTTCCGTTAGCTGGTAATAGCTGGCTTTTGGACCATTAAAAAAATGAAAAGCCTATAAATTAAATTGGCACTGGCCAATTGTCCAGGAGAAAAAAAAATCCCATTGCGAAATCATGCATTTTAGCCTATTAATTGATTGAAATACCAGTGGATGTAGTGCAAGAGCTGCTGACACAGCTCAAACAGCTGTTTGTTGCTGCTGGAGTGAAACTACAACCACACTTCTTCCAACCTTGCAGATACTCTATAAGTTTGATATTTCCTGCTTTAGTCACTTTAATACCACTCACATTTAATTAAGTATCATGATACAGAGACTGTCAAACAGCACAGTCATTAGCCAATTTTACTCACTGATCAGACATTTCTGTAGCTGGTATGTATCTGCAGTCAGGGTGAATGCACACACAAAGCTGCTGATACAGCTGTTAGTTGCTGCTGGAGTGAAACGTGATCTCCCCTCTTTCAAAATGTAAAATTGATAATTTCATCTCTGTCACATGTAACCTCTCACAATGGTGTTTTCCCGCTAATTGCATTATGGAACAAACATTCGCGCGTAGCCTACTGCCTTGTGCGAATTGCTGCGCTTATAATTTGAAGAAATAATAGTTTATCAAAATGTTATGCTAAACGTTCTGATCTGTTGCGTTAGACTCATCGCTTCAAGTTTTTTTTTTAATGTAGCCTAGGCCTACTGGTTGTATTAATTTGGGATCTTTCATCCCACATCTGTCCCAGAGTCGACAAGCTGACCAAAATAATAGGTGAACTTTTCTACTCTGGGGGATAGTAGATTGACATAGGCTAGTGATTTTGCAGTTCGTTACTCGCCTTGTTGGCTGAGGAAAAGTAAATGTGGGCAGTTATTCTAACATAGGCGGCCTGTGGGTTTCAAGTTCGGGGAAGCAAATTTTCACCATAAAAATTCACCTTTATAATAAAGCATTCCATGCATCCTCGCATTTGCAGACTTCTGTAAGATAGCCAACTATTCCTAATGTGATGATGATTAGATTGGATAGTCATAATTTAGGCTAATAATAAACACAGTTCATGCAATTCTACTCCATTTTATCTGAATGTAGACATTAGCAGAATCTTACAGGGTAGCCTACTCTACTGACACTGACAAACAGATCAATAAAAACAACGTTGTTTTTAATTGTCCAAAAACAAACTAAAGTGGCAGTGACCCAATTATAAAGACAGTGAATATGCACCAATAAGACACACTACTGTTCACTCAATTAAGTTGAGCATTTTGATAACTTAGAGCCAATTTATGCTTGATCCGAAAATGCACTGTTGTAACTTCTACTCCTGAAACTTCTACTCTTGTAACATCTACTGTTGTAACTTCTACTGTTGTAATTTCTACTCCTGTAATGTCTACTGTTATGTCTACTGTTGTAACTTCTACTCCTGTAACCTCTACTCCTGTAATTTCTACTGTTGTAACTTCTAGTCCTGTAACTTCTACTGCTGTAATTTCTACTGTTGTTCTGCTGTTACCTCAGTCGTAGTTTTGTGTCTGTTCCCTGCACTGCTGGGGCCTGTGTGTGACACAGCCTAAAGTAAGAGACAATTTTAACTCTCAAACCAGCATGACACTAACCACCACCACGTAAAACCAGCCTTAGTTTATGATTGGTCAGGATGCACTTCCTGCCAAAGGACACACTTCGTTATTGCATTTTTTTTAACCTTTATTTATCCAGGTGAGTCATTTAACAACAAATTCTTATTTACAATGACGGCCTGAAAACACATCTACACACGCACACACACACTATATAAACATTAATGACTCCTGCCGTATACACTAGGCATGTATCCTAAATAGCACCCTATTCCCTATATAGTGCACTACCCATGTACACTACCGATAGGGCTCTGGTCAAAAGTAGTGTACTATATAGGGAATAGGATACCATTTGGCACTCAACCCAGGCATATACCCTGCCTTCCTCATTCTGCTACATGAAGTGCAGAAAGTCTTTATTGAAAACGTTTTAAACATTTTTCAGCCATATTGCATATAGTCTCGTCGAACTTTAATTGAACCTTATGATTAACGTAATGACATATAAAAACACACACACACACACCATTATTATGTTATCCATCAGAGGATACTCAGCCAGACAAAGCAGGGTTGATTGCTGTAAATGTGAGAGCGATAGGGGATAGGTGTGTGTGTGTGTGTGTGTGTCTGTGTGCCTGCCTGTGCGTGACTGCAAATTAACAGTTTTACCAGGGAATGAGGAAGTCACACACACACTCAGGGCCCCAATAACACATGGATCAGCAAACAGTTTCTGCACACTCAGCACAAACATTAATTGGATGGCACGGACTCAAACCCACTGAGTCCAGGCCTTGTGGGGAGTGCGCACACTTAATCTTAAAGATGTCGTCCAGTATATTTTTTTACTTTTACACTTGAAAAGCGATATCCCAAGTATAAATACAGTAAAGTACAGACACTAAAGAGGATTTTTTTTTTTTTTTTGAGCAAAGTTGGTCCTGAGCGCTCTGGAGCAAGCTTTCATCAACAATCTTTCTGTACTTTGCTCCGTTCATCTTTGCCTCGATCCTGACTAGTCTCCCAGTCCCTGCTGCTGAAAAACATTCCCACAGCATGATGCTGCCACCACCATGCTTCACCGTACGGATGGTGCCAGGTTTCCTCCAGATGTGACGCTTGGCATTCAGGCCAAAGAGTTCAATCTTGGTTTCATCAGACCAGAGAATCTTGTTTCTTATGGTCTGAGAGTCTTTAGGTGCCTTTTGGCAAACTCCAAGTGGGCTGTCATGTGCCTTTTACTGAGGAGTGGCTTACGCCTGGCCACTCTACCATAAAGGCCTGATTGGTGGAGTGCTGCAGATATGGTTGTCCTTCTGGAAGGTTCTCCCATCTCTACAGAGGAACTCTAGAGCTCTGTCAGAGTGACCATCGGGTTCTTGGTCACCTCCCTGACCAAGGCCCTTCTCCCCCGATTGCTCAGTTTGGTCAGCTCTAGGAAGAGTCTTGGTGGTTCCAAACTTCTTCCATTGAAGAATGATGGAGGCCACTGTGTTCTTGGGGACCTTCAATGTTGCAGACATTGTCTCGACACAATCCTGTCTCGGAGCTCTACGGACAATTCCTTCAACCTCATGGCTTGGTTTTTGCTCTGACATGCACTGTCAACTGTGAAACCTTATATAGACAGGTGTGTGCCTTTCCAAATCATGTCCAATCAATTGAATTTACCACAGGTGGACTCCAATCAAGTTGTAGAAACATCTCAAGGATGATCAATGGAAACAGGATGAACCTGAGCTCAATTTCGAGTCTCGTAGAAAAGCGTCTGAATACTTATGTAAATAAGGTATTTCATTTTTATTAATTTTTTACATTTGCAAAAATATCTAAAAACCTGTTTTAGCTTTGTTATTATGGGGTATTGTGTGTATTGATGATGGGGAAAAAACTATTTAATCCATTTTAGAATAAGTCTGTAATGTAACAAAATGTGGAAAAGGTCTAATACAAAATATTACATGACATTACATTTCATAACACATTAAGTGTGTGCCCTCAGGCCACTACTCTACTACCACATATCTACAATACAAAATCCATGTGTACGTGTGTGAAGAGTGCGTGTGTTATCATGTGTATGTGTAAGCGTGTGTCTGTGCCTGTGTGTGTGTGTCTCTTCACAGTCCCCGCTGTTCCATAAGGTGTATTTTTATCAGTTTTTTAAATCTGATACTCTATTCCACATCAGTTACCTGATGTGCAATAGAGTTCCATGTAGTCATGGCTCTATGTAGCACTGTGCGCCTCCCATAGTCTGTTCTGGACTTGGGGATTGTGAAGAGACCTCTGTTGGCATGTCTTGTGGGGTATGCAT